AAATTCAAATTGAAAGGGATCATATAGATGACGATTGAATTGAAAAGAAAATTAGACTTTCCCCGTCTGTCCTTCTCTCTGTACATCACTGTTTAGGCTGTTGAACATACATTTTCTTTTTGATTTTTTCACACTGACATGTAGGCTTTTAAAGAGATATTGTTTTCATTTATGCTGTACAACGATGTATTAGCAAGCAAACTGATATTTTGTTTGTTTACTTTATTTTTGTGATAAAGAATATAGTTTCAATAAATTGGAAAAAGAAAGTCCCGATCCCGTTCAGCAGCTTAAATCCCGATCCCGAACTCGTTCATAAGCTTGACCCCGATCCCAATCCCGCGGGATCGGGATGATCCCGCAGGGCTCTTGATCTAGGACATTTTATCGTTTGCACTGAATCTTTTAACTATGTATAGAATTAAGTATTTCTTTTTATACTGGAACATTAAACAAATACTGGTAAGAGGAACCATTCAACACATTAACATTTTTCAACATCGGAAATCGTTCCCACATTCGATATAGAAGCATTTTCAACTCTTTCTAATATCACCATCGGATTTCTCTCAAAAAGTTTAGTCTAGGACGATCCTTTCTACCTAAGCAGTCATACTACACCGGGCTTAAGAACTCTTTCGAACAGTTGAGCCTTCTGTTCATATGACCATAAATGAAAATTCATCAGAATTTAATGCGTTTTCAAGAATGAAAGAATTTTCATGTGCTTTAATACGTAAAATTTTTTAACGTACTCAAACTGCTTAATTCATGCAAACCCCATAAGTTTTAACGAATTGAAATGCATTCAGAAATTGCAATGCGTTTACAGACCCTGAGCAGTTTTAATGCACATAGACTCGTTAAAATTTCTTGCATTTACATGAATTCAGAAATTTTAATACATTAAAATGCATTAAAAAGGCTTAATACATTCGAACGACTTGAAATCTAACGTCTTCGAATGCATTTGAACATACTAATACCTGTCAACGCCTTAAAAGTTTTTAAGGTCTTTGAATGCCTTAAAGTTCTATGCGTTCGCATGAATTAAGAAATTTTAACGCGTTGAAGAGCATTGAGTTTATCAGACGTTAAAAGTCAGTATTATCGAAACGCGTTAAAATTGTTAGTGATTAATTTCATTTTAACGCAAGAAATGCCTTAAAAAAATTTAATATGAGATTAACACGCGTTTTTTAGCTAGGCAAACGCGTTAACTATGTTTAAGTCGTCTTAACTTTTTCGTTTACTTTTGGTATGCTAAATTTAACGCGTGTCAACGCATTAGACCTTTCTTTTTAAGCCACTTAACGCATGTGAGTTTATTAATATTTAATGCTGTTAAATGGGTTAAAACATAGCTAATGCGTGCAAAGGAAATTTTTGGTATCAAAAAAGTCCAGTGGATGTATATATAACAAGATCAAACTTACACTAATCGTATAAAAGCTATTAAGGAATCGTTTTTGACCATACGGTCGTTTTACTATGAGGATCCAATGTTATTTGGTTCTCATCGGAGGGGTATGGAGGTTTTCAGAAACGTTTTCTAAAAACGTTGAAACGCTGACTTGTCGAAAAAATTTGCTTTCCGATAGAAAAACAAATTCAAAAATACTCTCAATAACACCAGGAAATAGAGCAAACATTTTTGATCAAAATGAGACATCTGCCAGCTCTGAATGATGTTTTAATCAAGAGTTATGCTGGAAGCCCTAAAACATCAATCCTACCAATTCATCAGGTCGCATCACACCCTGAAGTCGCTTTTCATCGGTAAATAGAGAACCAGAACATGTTACTAGATTTCAAATAGTGTGGATGATTTGGGGATCTGAGAAAAACCTATATGAGCTGGGAAATTACGGTGGATCACTAAATCTTAATCAAAGTGATTTATGCACTTTTCTGCACTTGGAAAGGAGCATAATGGATAATTTTATTGACTGTCCTACATCCATAATGGATGGTTTCATTGGCTGTCCAACAGCGTCCAATTAGAAGACCAAAAACAACTCGATCCTTCCATAGTTTTAATAATTGTCATGTAAAGCATCTTAAAATGCTGACGATAGTGTATCAGTGTATATGTTTGAGATCTGACAAACAACTGCATTTCGAAAGAAAAATGCCTGACAGTTATCTTTAGAAAGGGTATCCCTGCCTACTAAATTAGGTAACATCTTCCCTTTTGGACTTTTTGTCACCCTCTAATTCCAATAAAGTCACTTTCTGAACGCTTCTTCACTGACTTGCGACTTGATGAAATCCCCAGTCGAATTGGACTGGCGCATGCCTATTAATTCTGTTCTACCAGCAGCAATAATTATTATTAGTTAAATGATAAACGTTTTGTACAAAAACCTGTTTGTACAACGTTGAAGTTCAGTTAATTGATGAGTAAAATAACTAATATTCTTCTTTGTTGTTCCAAGATGCGGTGGAAATCGTGATACTGATGTACAGAAAGAGAAACGAAAATAAGTATTGCAAACCAAAATACTAACTTATGAAAATATTAACTATAAATTAAATATAAAATTTGTTTTCTTTTGTTCCCAGGAGACAAAAATATAATAAATTTTGTTTATGAGCAATTCGATGTCGAATATTTCTCTCTCCTTAAATACCACGAAACTTCGAAGTTTGCAAGAAATTCCATAATAAAAATTTTCAGCTTATTTCAGTCAAGCGTTCTCCAGCAACAGTTTCTTCTTTATCATAACTTGTCGAAACTTCAAATATTTTTTTAGCAACAAAGTACGCTACTTTTATTAAAACAATAACTGAATATTTCCTCTACAAACATTTTATTAAACGTTTATTTAGTATCTTTTTCTTATCATCGGAGTGATTTATTGTATTCATAACGTTTGCTTTCATTACTTCTCTTGTACATGTCGTTTTGATGGAAGAACGACTACGCAAAAAATGGAAACATTTACTGTGGCGTAAGCGAGTAATTTAAGGGCAATAATACTTTTGTCTATCTGATTTTATTTGCTAACGTATCACATAGAATAAAACATATTTCTCTCGCACTCATACTAGCGGGTTTAAACTTAAAATCATCGGATCTATGGTGCAACTGATCATATATACAAATAATGAAGCAGATCAATCCACTATTCTTATAACAATTAGCATCTCAAAAGAGTCCTTGGAAAATCTGGCATCGATTCGGCCTGCAGATATCTGCTCGGTATCGATCACAATTTTATTGAACGGTTGCATCTCTGTTCCATTCTTCCGTCGTTAATCATATGTGATGAAAGCTGATGCGTGGAGAAGATAACTTTTAATTTTCATGATTGCACTCAGTGTTGTCCTCTATTATTTAATAGTAGAAGAGTAGTATTGGGAGCTCGATTCAAATGAAATCGACTTCAGTTACGGAATCGGCTCTGTACCTGAAAATGTCGATGATTCAATCTCTTGATGTTGATCATAGTTTTTGTTTATTTAAGACAGATGGGCTTCGTTCGTTACTTTATTCAGAATAAATTCTATTCACGCATGCTACTTGTTAATAGTCTAAGAGATTTTCTTTGAAATAAGTAAATTTTAGCTTTTAAAAATATTGGATACTAAGAAGGCCTAATCTATCTCATCAAAATGCATTCTACTCAACGGATGCATCACCGCGGGTAAATTCTTTCTCTTTTAATGCGATAAAGAACTGATTAAATCGAGAAGAGAGCTGAAAATTTAATTTGCTTCATGGGACATTTCCTAGTTTTGATACGTTCTAATGATACTAGAAGCTATTATAATACAGAGTAATATCATAGAAATAGTAGCAACTAAATGGAAATGTAACAAAATATTTCCTTTAAATTTGATTAGTTCTTTATCGCATTAAAAGAGAAAATATCTACCGACGACGAATGCATCCTTTGATGCGAGTGCTTTCTGATGAGGGCTTCTGTCATTATATCTTTTTTATTCTGCTTTTACCATGTCTCTCAATGCTGTTCTAGCCGACATTAATATTTATGGATCGATAACATATTTGGTACTGGGCACAATTGGATGTCTTCTAAATGTACTCGTTTTCACTCGACGATCATTGAGATCAACAACATGTATCACTTATCTTTTGGGAACGTCAATTGTCGATTTGATTTCACTGTGTGCAGCTACAATACCGACTATATTTAGGGGATTAGGTCGAAGTATAACAGCAAATTCACCTGTATTATGTAAACTCCAGTTTTTCATTCTATCGACTGGTTTTACTCTGTCAGCATGGTTTCGTGTATGTACGTCTATTGACAGATTTTTGACTAGCTGCCGTAGTATTCAGTACCGAAATTTGAGTACGAAAAAAATTTCCTATCGAACAACTGTATTAATGATTATATTAGCTATACCAACTTGGTGTCAAACATTTTACTGTTTTGATGCAAATCTAAAGCCACCAACGCCCTGTTTTACAATGAACGATCAATGTAAATTGGTGAATAACATTTTATTAATTATTATTCAATCATTCGGACCAGTAATTATTATGATTGTATTTAGCCTTCTCACACTACAAAATGTTCGAAATGTTGGCAGCCTAGTTGTGCCAACTGTTTCTTCTTCCGCTAGCAGCTCAAGGATACGTACAAAAGACCGACAATTAATAACAATGCTTTTATTTCAAATAACACTATTTGCTGCTTCAACTGTACTCATACCACTCTATAATTTTTATACGTATTCAACACAGAACGCGATTAAATCAGTATATAGACTGACAGTTGAAAACTTTATTTTTCAATTGTTCGTATTTCTTGCCTTGACACCGTATGCAACAACCTTTTATTTATACACAATGTCGGGTAGAATATTTCGAGATGAGCTTCGAAAAGTATTTATAAAATTATGTGGAAAAATTGGCCTACAAGTGGCACAATCAGTAGAAAGTACAGCAACACATTTGGTAACACAAAGTACCCGACACGTTCAACCTACACGTTCGAACATACAGACCACTAGAGCCCTGTAGGTATAACATTTTCGATTACGAACCGGATCCGACTCCGTAGACTTGAGCTCCGTCCCGAACCCGCAAGAATGTTTTTGGGAACCTGATACCGATCCCGATTTTCCAAAAGTAAACCGGCCCAAAGCCTGTTCGAAACCGAAAAAGATTCTTTCAGTAAAGCAGTGCCCTCTTTCATTTGTGCATTAGTAAGCCTGTACACGTAGAGGAAGAATAATAAAATTCAATTGATCTGGAAAAAGATTGTCTTTATTAAAATCGATGGATAAAAATAATGATTAGCGAAAATAGTCAGCTGTAAATGGCAAGCACGAACAATTAACAGCCAAGAAGCAGAAACTCAAACAAAGTGATGGTACTTTTAATGACACTGAAAATGAGCACGCTTAAGAAATTACTTTTTCTATTTCTACGTTTGTGATAAACATTTAGCAGTCTCAAAAACAGATGTTCTGTTCTTATTTTTGTCTTCAATAAAGTAGGAAAAGTTTACCTGAAAACAATAATGCAAAACTTAATCGGGTTCGTGTTTCTTTAAACAAGAAACCCGATCCAGACGCATTGAAACCCGTTCCGAACCCGAACCCGAAAAACGGTTTCGAAAACCTGCTTCCAAACCCGAATCCGCGGGTTTGAGTTCGGATTAAACCCGCAGGACTCTACAGACCACCCGATATCTTGAACATGCAGTTGACCGTGTTTAAGATAGACATGCTAATTCTATGTTTTATAGTTTTTATTTATTTCTTCTACAATCTTTACCAATGAGGGAAAGTTGTCAGACGCCAATTCGCTTTCTAGATGAAACATATAGGACGATATATAATCAATGATGCTGATTACGAGTATGATGGTGGCTCTTAGACCTTTAGCCCACCCTTTTTTTGAAACCAAATTTCCAAAGGCCCATTGGATTGTAGTTCATCGTAGACTGCTCGTTTTGACTAGATCCAGTAAACTAGTACACAAAATCGAACGATAATGGTTATTAACTGTTGCCGTAATTTTTTGACTCTAAGTAACTTTTAAAAAGTTCATTCTAGACTTAAAAAATTGTTGAATTTTTATCTAGCTTTTAACGCTATGTTAGGCTTGGAATAAATCGTTATGTTTTTCATAAAAGTTTTGAAATACTAGAGCAAAACTGCCCTAACTTTACTAAATTGCTAAATAAATCGTATATTTCTTTGTATTCTCATCGTAATCAACCTTGTCAACAATAAAATTAATTTGTGCCGGCAACAGAACTTCTTCTTCAGCTGGATATTGCGAGACTGATGACACATCTAATACAAATGATTCCGTAAATGAACGGTCTAAGATATCAATAAAAAATAATGTCATAAACTGATCCTTGCCAGGACCCTTTCCAATTCCCTCTGCAACCGACAACTTCTTTGTTGTTGATGAAGATGCAGACCAACATTGTGTTTTGCTATAGAGTCTTTATACTGTTGTATCTGATCCAGTTTAAACTTGCCACCATGATAGACACGATGTTTATGTTGTGTTTAGACGTGTTAGCCGACAAAGTGGTCGACGACCACGTGTAAAAAAGTTTTCCATCTGCGGCACCCGTGTGACATTCCGCCAACTTTTCTCGAAAACCTATGTTTTTCGGAGTTTTGTCCGATCGGCGGCGGCGCGGCGTATCGGCTAACATGTCTAGTTGTGTTGCATCACGGCAACTCCAAAGTGCATTTACCAGTAGAAAACAGTAGGGACCAAGTATTTCTAATTTCGATAGATCTTCTGACGTAAAACATCCTTGAGAATATGGTAGAGAAAGGTTTCTTCTGTATAAAAAATTGGACTTTTAAGAAAAATCCACACGGGTCGAAAATTTCCGAGTCTGAACACTTCGTTCTGGCTCAGCCCGATCACTCTTAGCTTAGGGAGGAAGGTGGTAAAATCCTTGTTATTTTTCAAATTTTTATTCTTTATTAAAGTTGCAAGTAGATACTTTAAATCCGGTAAAGGACGGGAGACGGTTTCTGCTAGAAAATGGCCCAATATGACTTTGAGTGAAAATGATCGCGAATGCTTCCCTTTTCACTTCCCACTCTCAAAAATGCCTGCTGGTGTCTTTGAAAAAAAAGTTACTTTGCATCTTTCATCACCAGTTCAACAAAAGCCATAAGCAAGATAGAGAATTTTCTGGGCTTCAAAATAAACTAAGTCTTTCAGAAATATGCCCATATGGGCCAATAGTCGAAATACTAGACAGATATCATCATTTTTACTTATCTTAGTGCTTTAAACACTTCCTTGTGTGACACTACCTCGAGAAATAACGGTCTAAGCGGTTTTTCCTTCTGTAAAAAGACGCTCAGAAACGAAATTTTCTTTCACATTAGCTGGAAAAAATCGCACAGAAAACGGTCCATCTTTCAAACCGTTTTCTTTTTCTAAACCACCCGGAGCAGCGTTTCTGCACAAGGTTTACCACATTATTGGAACTATAAGAACTGCAGTTTCCAAAAAGTTTTTTGACAAAAATTGCTTCGAACTGCGCCATACTGATGTTTTTTTCTCAAGAGCATATCTAAAGAAACCCGTGTCTAATCGATCTCTAGTTTTGTAGAAGGCTTTTAGTGATTGATCCGCATTCTCTGTCCGGCAAACAGGACTAAACTGATCTTCGCTACATTCTGAAAGTCACTAATGACAAAGTGACCCTACACCAAGGATACTTAACATCAGCTATTGTGACATTTTCTCACTTATCTGCAATTTTATTTTAAGATCTTGCACAATCATTGTGTTTAACTGAAACTATTTAACTGTTTAATTGAAGAATTTACTACCGTTAATTCGCTCTCTCCCTCTCTCAGAAACTGCTGCGCACTTACCTTGTAAAATACTTCATTTTTTTGATTAATTCCTGAGAAAAAAGAAGAAAGCACACATAATTTGCAAAAACAACCCGATGAGAAATAGTTTCGTACTATGTTAAGAAAATATGAAGTCGTATATGTTTATAATGAGAAAGATTCTCGTCCATATATACAACGATCCTTCTTTCTTTTTTTAAAAACATTGTTATGTAGAATACACGTGTGTAACATATACACACACATCTACTCAGCTGTTTCTTTACATCAACATCGGAAAAAACAACGTGTAAAGAAACACAAAAGAATAGAGAACCAACGAAAATGGAGACATTTATTCACATGTGCACTATATTCGAATATAGTGCACATGTGAATATATTACAATAACAGACGCTAAAAATTGATGCTTCATCTTCTGCTATAATACACCTGTTGATAATTTTCTATAACAAAAGCAAGAACAAGTCTAGTTTTCTACTAAAAAATACTCTGGCAACCGTGATAGTTACCACAGTATTTAGGTAGATCTCCTACTCATGTTGTGTCTTTCTCTGAGAGCAAGACACAACATGAGTAGGAAATCTACAGAACGACTTTTCTCGATTTTGTAAATAGTTCTGAGGAAAATTCACCCATACAATTAAAAAAACTGGTTCTTTGTAGATCTGAGCAGAAGTTCTTCGTTTATCCAAAACAGAGAGCTGAAATGAGCTATTTGATTTGATTGACATGTTGAAAATATGTATGCTGAATTTTTGATTTATTTGTAGAACTCAAAAATGGATTCTTCGAATTTTTAGTACGCTGTTGGGACCTTCCAAGCGTCAAAAAAAAAATCTATTATCACCCGATTCATCTAGACTACTAGGTTTTTACTCGATTGCAACTATTGGGTAACGACAGTGGAAATCGAGTAATCGGGCGATTGCCAGATTTCTTCTAGTTGCAACTATCGATTATTCGTCCGATAATCGATCTATTTAACTATAATAGATGAAGGACCAATTTGCTTCACAACTACACTGTAATTTCAGTTCAATATTCACTCAGTTACTTAACTTCTTTTTTCCTTGTCACAACGTTGCTCTGGCTTCAAATTACCGAAGTGAAAACTACTCTAGGCAGACTACTTATCCTGCTCTCTTTGACTTATGACACGTATTGCCGGTGGTTACTCTAAACTATGACTATACATAGATACTTGTGTTTCTGTCAATGTCATCCTGATCTGAAAATCTAGCTATTGAAATCTCGCCCTTTTCTATTTAGTGTGGTTAACCATACTTAAGTTGAGTTCTCTCAAATTTTGAGAACGCTCTGATAAAAGAGATTGTTCTTGTGCTCCCGTAACTAACTCAGAAGAAGACAGTTTAACGTTGTGACAAGGAGAAATAAAGAACATTCTCTCTTAATCTATCAGAAACTGCTGCGTGCCTGTTCGAGAGTTAAATCAATGGATTTTAATGGTAAATAAGCAACTTAGACTACAAAAATGCAGACGCAAACAGGTCTGCACAGTACGTAAATTAAAGTAGAAATGTCTATGCTGCTTGTTTTATTTAAATGAGAATGTAAAAGAACACATTACACGCACATGTCTGAGTATATGAATAACAAACTTTTATTAATTCAATAGCGCAAAAATACACGTATTTCCTGGTTCAGTTGTTCAAAAGACTCAAAAAAATCAACAAATTCTTTAGTTTTACAGGTATCTCAAAAAATGAAGATCAAAAAGGCTCTGAAGAACTGAAATGACAAAAATACTAATTAAAGAAATCACAAAATCGACGAAGGGTTGCTGCTTCTAATTTTGCGTATGAGTCGATTAAATTTAGTCGTTCATGGTGATCATATTTCATCATTAAATGGTAGATTATTAATCGACGTAAAGATGGGATGACTTGTGCTACTTGAAACAAGTGTGATATTAACATAATCAGTTCACGAAAGTTTAATAATTGAACATCTCTTGTTACACAAATAAGAATAAAAAAAATCAAAGTAACAACACTTGAAGCTAATTAAACAAATTCCAATTGTCGTGTAACCCTTCTACTTTGTAATTGATTCATGAGTATGTAGATAGATTTTGAATTGTATTAGACAGTGACGTCAACTGAATCTTAGATATAGTGAAAAAACTTTTCTTTACGTTCTTGTTTGTAATACAAGTTGTTTACTTCCCATATGCTATACAGCGTGCTTCTGAAAGTTTCAGCTCTCTGGCTAAAACTAGCAGCGGAATACGTTGACAAGAATGAGATGTATAAATTTTCATAATCGATCTTTGCAGTATTTTTCACTGTGAAAAAATCGCAAAAAATGAGCATGATAACTTATGTATTTCAACTTTGTCCATGTATTTCGTCACTGGTTTTAGCTAGAGAAGTGAAACTTTCAGAACTAAGAGATCTTGATTAGATATATATGTTTGATAAAAATTTCAGCCCTCTATGCGGAGAAAAAGTGTGAAAAATTTATATGACTCGTTTACACCTCTCCGTGGGACTAATACAAAATTCGACCACTATTAAATAATAGAAAAATTTTACACAAAACAAAAACGAATTTTTCTGTAATTTGGTATAAATAACTATAGTAGTGTGCTTACTTATATTATAATATAGAATTTTAAAAAAGTTAATTTTTTAAAAAATTATTTTAAATTTTTTTTAAAAAGTTTAGAAGTGCTATAAAAAATCTTTGGCTTATTAAATTATTAAAGTAAAATATTTTTTATAATATATGACTGTGACTCTATAAAGTTACGACTGCGGAGAGCAAAACTTTTTTCTGTTAGTAGAGAAAAGAATAAAATAAAATAAATTCGAAATATGAAGCTCTAACAAAATATTCAATTTCCTATCAATGCTCTCTTTCGAGCATCAAATCTTAATGTTTCCGAAAAGACTCTTTTAAAGATTTAGGAAGTTTGGCCCTATAGATTTGCCACTGG